GAAGTATCAGCTAGTAGGAGAGGGATGGGGAGATTCTTCAGTCTTAAAATCTATGCCCTAGCACAAGAGCTTTAGTGAGTATAGATGACCCTATGAAGTTCTTCCAGGATTGCAGTTCAACCTGCACTCCTGTCTTCTTGTGCCCCTTCATTTTTTGCCAAGTCACTGACTCCTTCTCACAGCCCTATCCTCCCTGCATCCACTCGTAAGACTTATTTTCCCAGCCCAAGTCTTCTCAACGTAAAATTCATAGGCTCATTCTTCAGATTCTTGTCCCTGTTCTCTCATTTCAAAGTCCTAGAGAGACCTCTCTGCCCAACTCTTGCCACGTTCTCCATATTTTAGCTTTTGCTCAATCTCTTTTTCATGGAGATCATTTCCCTCCTTTTAGGACTGATGGGCGAGTAAAAGTTATCAACAAGACTGCTGAAGCGCATGAGCTCTGCCGACACGCCACACGGATGGCAGGAGAGCCCATCCAGGACAGGCCCGGCTAAGGTCACTCCTCGCGAGGTTGGGCATCCCTCGTACGTTCAGGGTGTAGAAATGTTAGCATATATTTTTCACTCCTTGCAAGGTTGAGAGGCCCCCTGTATATTCAGAGTGAAGTGATGTTATAGCATTTTATTTTATTTTATTTTATTTTATTTTATTTTATTTTATTTTATTTTATTTTATTTTATTTTATTTTATTTTATTTTATTTTTATTCTATTCTATTTTATTCTTTTTGTTTTACTGTATTTTTCTTTTCCTTCTCTGTGGAATTCCTGTTTACCAATTGATCAGCCGACTCCTGTAATAATCACGCCAGTTAATGGTGCATGTTGTTATTGAAAAGATCTTACACTGGTGAATAAAATCAACTAACTGAAGACTCTCGGGATTATTTTACTCTCTCCCTTTAATGGCACATAGCGCAATGAGGACTGCTTTTTTTCTGTCCTCACTGGTTTTCTTAACCTCTTTTTCAGACAAAAAGATTGTGCCCCAGATGTTCAGTTCTTTGACCTTGTCCTCTCCTTGTGTATTGGTTATTCTTCTTTTTATTCTTATTTTACAATACCTAAATTTTGAGTATAAGCTAACCTTATGCTTTTACCTTCACAAGAAGTAAAAATATATACATAGGTTCATATAGTCAGAGTTTTAAACCAGTACTATTTCATGGAATAGGTTAAAGAAGATTGGGAAAAAAAGAAGTGCTTTGGGATAGAAAGAGATGAATCCCTTATTTAGCTTTGAACTTCAATATTAAATAGTTAACATTTTAGCTCCCTACTTTGTATTTTCATATTACAGCAATGTCAGTTGTTCACATTGTGATTTTATTTCCACTTGCACCACATTCCTCCCTAATTTTCTTCTTCATTTATTTTTAATATATGCTTGGATGAATTTTTAACATCCCAAAACAGTATGTCACTTGGCATTAAACCAGTACAGCTCCATTTACTTCAGGATAATCCTGCCAGTTCCTGCAAGCTGAGATTTGAATCTATTTTTTTTCTCAGCAGAGATTCTCTCCCACAGACCTTTTAGAAACTTATTTGATTAGCACAGTGGATATGACAGGATGCCTGAGAGGAGAATCTTTCTCCAAAGCAGGAGAAACATAAATAAGATTGTTTGATGAGCAGTGGAACTACATAACCTGTTTTTTCTCGCTGCAATAACACCAATTCCTCCCTTTTTTTCAGTATGACCTAACTCATCCCCTAACAACGTTGGTAGCCCTCCCACCTTCCCTTGTAGCCATCTGGGAAAAAAAGGCAGCATGTGTCAGGGCTGGCTCCGACTTACGGCAGYGCTGTTTGGTGATCTACTAAACAGAGCGTTACTGACCCGAGGCCAGAAAAAAAATGTTGGGTTCAATGAGGTCAGTTCTTCAGCCCATTTTTGTCAAACCTACTGCAGATTCTCATGAAGCCCACGGAAATGTATTACCTGGGAAACTTCTATTTCTGTAAACTGTGGTTGCAATTGGCCTGCTGGTTTCCCAGTTATTAAGGACTGACAGGCAATGTGACTGTGTAAGCCTTAGGAACCAAGGAAAAAGAAATAAAAATAAAATGCACAGGGTATAATATACATAATTTGTTATTTATTATTTGAATTTATTATTTAATTTTATTTATTTATATATATTTTAAAATTTATTATTTTTAAGTAACATGGAATAAATAGTCTTTCTAGCAAAAATGAAGCACATTTATTCTTTTCTATAGGGTTTTCATCAATTCTCAACAAAAATCTAGCTGAGAGTAGAAACGGAAGGGAGTAATTAGATTCTATTCTGAGATGTGATGGTAATCCAAAATTTTGACGTTATTCTCCTACTTCATAGCTAAAGGGAGAGAATGCTTTAAGTGAAGACACACAGAATATGATGAAGTACAGAGCTCTGTGGAATGGGATTGGCAACTTGGCTGATTTGGTGTAAGAAAAACTATACTGTGATTGACTGGGAGTCATATGTCTAATTAGCCACCCTTAAAACACTTTAGGAACTCTGAATTTCATGTGCAATTTTTAATACATCACATTGCCACCCACTCTGTATGGTTGAAGGATCTGTATTTCATTCTCCTTTGGTGCCCCAGTTAGAAAAGTAAATTAAATTTTAATAACACAGACCTCATTAAAATATATATTATAAAATCATCTACCTTGTCAAAACACTACAAGTCCTAAAAACAGACTCTATCAGCTAACTTAACCTGTATGAAAAAATATGACTATAAACACTCCAAATAATGGGAGAAAAGTAAGAACATAAAATTTGGTATAATTAGAATGCCTCTTTTCTTGTTTTARTAAGTATATTTGAAAGCCTCTTTGACTTTAAGGGGATAAAAGGCTTATAAACAAACCATCTTTCGATCCTTTATATCATAAAGAATAATATAAATACATATATGTATTTATATATCATATTAGATTTTTTTTACACTTGGAAATTCTGTAAACTTCTTCACATGAAATTTACTCTTTTAATTTTCAAAAGCATTTGAGGATTTGGAGGCRATTTTAAGATTCTTGCTCTGAGACATCTGCAAGCTGCTAACTTTTCTGACAGCGGCTGCTCAGCACTTTCCGCGAATTTCTAAAAAAAATGTAATGATTCCAATCTATATTTGCTGTCCCCCTGACAGCTGTCTTCCTGGGGAGCATAGCTGTCACTGTGAACTCTTTGCAGAGAAGAAAGGGAAAAAAATATCCAGGGACTACTGCATGGTTTGCAGGGCTGAGTCTGCATGAACTGYCTGCTCTGCTTTCAGGGCTGGTGAGCAGAATCAGTTTGCATCCACCACGCCGTCTGCCACAATGAGGGACGATCGAGTAAATCCCTTTGTACAGGCCCTGAGGACCCCATCTCTCCCGTCTAACCACTCTGGGGAGAAATGCTTCCTGACATCAACTACATTTGCCCGTTAATAAAACACTGCAATTAAGCACCTCTTTACAGACTGAGAGGAAACCTCTTGTGTTATGTGAGGTCGAAAAAAAAATAGGCTGCAAAATAAATATTAACAGAATTACCATTTAATTGGCAGTTGATTATAATGATAAAAAATATTCAGTTAAAAACACATGTGGCTTGCCTCCCTGGTGACTGAGCAAGCCATGTAGTCATTGCTATGAAAAATACATTTTTTTTCACTACTGGAAGCCAGAATTAATAGCTTTGACAGACCTGTCCAGTGTAGTGGTGAGCCAATGTAAATATTTCATAGATCCATCTTTTATTAGCTACTGTTAATGAGTACTGTACATTATCTCATTTTCCCCTATCTGCACTAAAACTGTGTGGAATGAAACAGTTTTTAAATTGGCTGCATCTTTCTCACCCTGACATTAAATGAACGTAGCTCTGTGCCATTCCTGCCTTACAGTGCTGTCAGGGCACACTATTTCCTCTGAAAATTTTTACTTTTTTTTTTTTTAATCCCTAGAACGAGCATGTCCCATTGGATATACAATCTTGTGCATGCGTGGTCCAACATATGCATGAACACCGTGGGGATGTTGGCCAGACTGTATAGAAATTTGCCAAGCAGCAGTTACATTTAATAGCACTCCTGACCACAAATGTTGTGTTTTATAGGCAGACTCAATCCACAAGCCCTTTGAAGGCAGGCTGTTCATTTTTTTTTTTAATTGTAGAGCCCTAAATGTAAATTTAAATGTAGAGCCCTAAAAATCCAAAGCCATAAACAGCATTTCAGAGATCATATAAATAAAAAGGTACATTTTTTTGAGTTTACTCTCTTAACTCCTCCAGCTGCTCATATATATATGTGTGAAACTGTAATAGCCGTGTGTTTTTTTTTTTTTTTTCCAGATTTACCATCTTTTGGGTACTGCTGAAAACTGCATGAGGAGACACAGGGACCGCTCTTGTCCCCACTCCCCTCGCTCAGTAATGGGACTGTCTGCAAGAAACCCTTTCAACAGKAAACACTGATCATCCCTCGAACGTGGATGAGGAAAAAACACATCAAAGAGCAGCAGGAAACGTGGCCACTTCATCAGACCAACCTCCACCTGGTATCAGTGAGACACTTAGAGCTCTGGAGCTTAGCTAGGGGGCAAATACAGGGAATTCCTGGGACTCATCCAGCTAGGCTGCCACGGAAGAGCTGCCTGCCGTGAAAATAACGACAACTCCGGATTTTGAAGCCCATCAGTCTCGGGTAATAATTAAACGAGCTCAGGGGCAGCCTCCCCCAAGCGCAGCCTCCCCTCAAGCGCAGCCTCCTCTTCGCGCGGCGCACGTGACCCGCCGAGCGCCGAGGCCTMCCCCGAAGGGGCGGGGCCGGGGGCGCGGCCTAGCCTGAACGACCCCCGCCCACTCGCCTCGAGGCGCCCCAGCCCCCGCCGCGGAGGCTGCWGGGAGTTGTGGTCGCCGCCGGCACCAGGCTCTGCTGAGGACGGGCGCGGAACTACAGCTCCCAGGGTGCCTTGCGCTGCCGGGCACGTTAATGGAGGGCGGTTGGGGAGGGGGGAAGATGGCGGCTGTTCCACTGAGGAGGAGAGGTGGCTGAGGTGAGTGCGGCGGGACGTGTTGCCCCTTGCTCTGACCCGCTGCTGTTCGCGCTATTCGCGGCCCTTCCTGTCGCTTCCCGCCCGCCGCAGGGAGGTGGCGGCTGTGGCGCTTGCGGGGGACGCTGTGAAAGGGGCTCCTGGGGCGGCTCCGCGCTCAGGCCCGTCTAACACAAGGTTTGCTCCCCACGAACAGAACGATGTAGCAGGGCTACACAGCGCCCGCTCTTTAATAGCCTCAGCTCTTGCTCTAAAGCTGTTACCTGCTCTTCCTGTGCTGTGAGCGCCTCTGTCCTGMAGGTGATGGTTGCTCGGGTGGGTGCCCAGCTCTGGTGGCTTTTCAGGCTGCGCCCTGGCAGTGAGAGCAGTGTAGAGCTCTGCTCTGGACTACTGAGGTCCAGGCTCCCAAATCTAACTATTACAACTTTTCTTTAGTCATGATTAATGTATCTCGGGCTATATCCTATGGTAATTTAAGATGAGGTACAAGAAAGAATGGATTTCAATAAAGGGTTGTGAGATTTCTCTGCCCTGTTAGAGAAACTGTGGAAAACACTATCAGCCTGTGACAGCAAACCCCAATTATAACTGCTATATAAAAAATCGAGTTGTGTAGTTTAGCAGTTGCACTCTTTTAAGCCAAATCACATGTTTTCTCATTGTAAATTGAGTAGGAATGCTAAAATCCTGGTAACATGCAAGGTTGATTTTGCAGGGCATAAGTAATTCCTACCTTCTTAAGCCTGTAATGTGGTGAAAGCACATTCAAMTCTTTATTTATTATTCACTGTAACATACAGAGCATTTTGCTGGAAGACTCAGTGCACACAGTTGGTTAAACTTAGTTGGTAAAATTTCCTTTAGAAAAAGATAGTTTGGGATTGAAATCGTGGTTGTAGAGCTGTGGTATGTAGAGAGGCTTTCCAACAAGTTTTATACACCCCTTTTACCAACACTATTGCATATGAGTTTCCAGAATGTTGCTAGAATTTGATTGGTTGTTGATTCAGAGGAGAGCTCTCAAAATAGGTATTAGAATATGAGTTGTGAATAATATATAATAGACAATTGTTTCTATTGTGTTTGGTATAGTTATGGAACTAACTATATTCCACCTTCCTGCAGGTGGAAGGAGGCACTAAAATACTAATCAGACTTAGCACTTGAATTTCATTTGTAATGAAAAGGGACCACACTTTTAATGATAAACATTTTGTAACTTTGACTTTAAGTTGCAAACTGCTTTTATTGGTTTAGTGGTTTCTAATCATCCATCCTAAGGCTCTAATGAAGTAGTGTTTGTAAACTTACTGTGTCATTTTTTAGCCATTTTTAATGTTTTTTGATATGGACAAATGTCATCACTCATGGAATATAGCAAGAAAGCTGTTTTTTTTTGTTTGCTTGTTTTGTTTTTTAAATCTGTCTTTAACAATGTTTTAGTTAAACCTAGAAGCAGTGCCTTTAATTTGCCGGTGAAATGGATGTTACTATCATCAGGAGTCTTTAARAGAGTTGGAGAAGGATGCTCATTTAACATATAGGAAATTTTCTGATCACAAAACCCTGATTGGTCTTAAGACCAATCTCTAAGCTGAAGTGGGACAAATGCTTGACAGGATGTCACCTTTCAAATGAACCAGCTAGGATGAAACTGCTTTCCACGTTACTATAGCCAGGTTCTTGTGTGGTATTACCTCTGGTACCTGATTACACTAATTCAAAGGGAAATCAGGTAACTGCACTGCAAGTCTGATTTAAATTGCATTTTGGACAGGGGTAGGGGAGTCCGAAAATTGTTGTTAGAGATTAATTMGTTGTGCTTAAGAATGAGCAAGTGACTCTTTAACCTTGCAGCACCTGGGCCRTTTGCCTATCCTCAATAAGAAATGTTCTGATCAATTTCAAAGGTAGAGAACGTTTGGGAAGAAAAAAGTGGAGCAAAAAAATTTTTTTGTCCCATGGTTTCCCATCTTGGTTTACCTTGGCAGAGATGCTTCAGCCTTTACCCTTCTCTTGTTTAATTTGGGGAAATGGATGAGTTCCCAGCTGACAGTCTCATTTTGAGTCCTCCAGTTGTTCTTTATAATGTTACATAATCAAGTAACCTAATGGCGRAATTCACTTCCTAAATGGAATTACAAAACTGTAGGTATACTAGCTCTTGTGTGACTATATATAACCTGTACCAGGAAACTGCATCTGTATTTTCAGAAATACAGATCTGACTATATTGGACTGAGAGGATAATAGGGGTGTTAATATCTTTTCATCCCTCGCTGAGTTTTTTTTTTTTTTTTTTTTTTTCCCCCCCTTAATTTCATATGAATAAAAGTATTTACCAAATTGGAGATTCGGCATAAAGCTCCTGATTTTTGTGTTGAGCGGAGTGGTGTCCTCTAGTATTACTGTTATAATGTAAAGTAGTGAAGTAAAGTCCCTAAGATTGTTTCCATTTTGGGTCTCTTAGAGATGTGTTGTTTTAGGGCAGACAGGAAGGGACATCTGTTCTAGCGTCTGTTTAGCTTCCTTGGTGCCAYTTGCGGATTTGCATGATAATAAGCGATAATTTCTCCTTATAAATCATCCATTAATTTCAAATCCTACATTTAAGTACATAAGCTGAGGAAGAATAAACTCAGAACTAGTAAGCAAATCAAAGTAAATTTTCTTCTTGTGCTARGGGCTGCTTGGGTCTGATGCAACTATAGTTTGGTGTTAGAGTTTCTTATCCTAACCAAATTTTGTAGATGTCTTTAAGTGACACTGCAGGGCATTTGRTAAGAAGCACTGCACTTGTGTGTCATATACAGTCAAATCTGGATTTGCTCTTTGAAGTGTGTGTGTGTATATATGCATATATATGTGTGAGTGTATATATGTGTATATATATGTATATGTGTGTGTATATACATATATATAGTACTTTGCTTGTAATTATGTTTAGGATTAATATTATACCTGTAGGAAGGCAAAATAACTCGAGTCCTTAGTGGAAAACTCGACATAACTTCTATTTACCTTCTGACAATACAGAAATGAATGGTTTCAAAGCATTGCATATAATTTAGTCAGATGAAATGTTAYGTGGTCTTCTGTGGTAACAGTAAATGGATGTTAGAGGTGAAGAATGTTACTTTGGCTCCTTCTTTTTAGTACTTCGTTCTTTTAATGGAAGTTGTCTAAAACTATTGTTTTGACTTAACATTTTTTCTTCCTTTTTAGATTGCTGTACTTGATAAAATTGAAGACTGATTACTTATCAACAATGCCTGCTAGTAAGTATTGCCATCTTAAGTATTCCCTAAGAGCATAATTATGGATATTTAGTTTCATTAGATTTTTTTTAGCCTCACCAAAAAAAAAATATTTTAAGTTGAAGGAGGGAGTGCAGGGGACAGAACATAGTGATGATACCTGGCTGTTATTTTACAAAATATAGTACTGTCCAACATCTATAATTTTTGAGTTCAGTTATATTTTTCAAAGGAACCTAATGTGGATTATGTAATTCAACWAACATAAATTGATATTCCAATGCAAAATACTATTTTTGGTTAAAAAAATATAACTTTTAGATGGTAGAACTACTACTCTATATTAAATGATACAAGACTTTAGATATTTAACATGTAAAATAAAATAGGGTTTTGAGGGAGATATTCCTAAGAATTGAGCTGTTGCATACTACCTCAGAGAAGCATTTTTCATTTATATGACACCTAAGATTATGAAATGTATTAAAATAGTATTAATTGCAACTAAAATGTGTGTGGCTATGTAGTCTTTGTATTAAAATTGTTATGGTCAGTCTCTGGATAAAGCTGTTGGCTCTATTGTGAAGCTACAGACTTCTGCAAAATGTGAACTGTGTAGTTATTGAATGCATCTTAAATACAGGTCTGTAAAAAGACCATAAAATATGATTTCTTCAGGAGATGTATGTGGGGAAGGATTTGAGGTGAATTAAGATTTGTGATAAGCTGTGGCTATTTTTTCCTTACAAATGTCTTACAAAAGTTAGTTCCTGTGCTACGTGGTCACATGGATATTTAAAAACTGATAACATTTTAGTATGTAGTATTGCTTCAACCACTGACATTGCAAGATATTATAAATGTTTTAAATTTTCTTTTATTTAAAAATAGTTGGATTTTTGTCTTCTATGTAGGCATCCTTGTAAAATGAGTTTATTAAACAACACAGCCAGTATTAACTTATTACATTGTATATTCTGATTTGCAGCTGTTGGCAGAACTGTGGTCTAATTCCTGTAATATAATAACCGCTGCTCTGGTTAAATTGCAGTTTTTCAGTACTCCTAAGGCTTTTATCATGATATTTTCTGTATTATTTTCTATGTCAAATCTCTGTGTTAAGATGCAAAATACTGATGATAACCCTCAATGCCTGTCACATTAAAGACAAATATTACAATACTACATTCAAAACTGTGCAGCCATTTATTTCTATGTATATTTAAACTATACTTGCTTTTCATATGTATGGATGAAAGTGAGAAAGCATACATTATATGTATTGCAGTTTATATGAACAAAAATTTTGTTTACTTTTTCCTCTACAACAATGATGGAGGTAAAGAAGTATGATTAAAGTAAGCAAACAAATGTTGCTTTGCTGCTAGCTGTATTTTTTATTGATGTCTATGGAGACAAACKTCAAGATTTTTTGCTTTCTTGTGTGTGTAAGATGATTTCTGTCTCCTAATTTAGGCTTCTCTAGAGAACCAAGGGATTCCTTTCAGATCATATAGAGGAAACACATGTTGTTAGTGTGTTGCTTTGCAATTTCAAATTATTTGTCCTTGAAATCTGGAAAGCTCACCTCTTCGTGCAGTTCCTTCCCCTCCCCMCCATCCACAGAGTTCTTGCACCCCACATGTTCACAAATTCCCTGAGCATCTTCTAAAGTAAAATTTGTAGGTGAATGTTGGAGTGAAAGGTTTTTCCAAAAGTGTTTCTGAGTATACTGGAAGGGATTCTGTAGGACTGAAGTAGAATAACATGTCCTGCCTTCTTTCCTGAGCCTTTGTCAGTTCTTTGACCTCTTTTTATAACAGTTTASAAATGTCTAGATATAAAAGTGGTGGTTAGAAAAATTGGGGAAAGCCAAGATTTTGATGTTATGGAAAGACTGGGCAAAGAAAGCCTTAATTAGTTGTGCTATGAAGCTTGACAGAACTTTTTTTTATTATTGTTATTACTCGTAATGGTCATTATTGAGTTTTGCTTGAGAATGTGGAGATGYAGCAGTGTATGGACTACTTCATGAATGGATGCAAAGGGTTTAGTTTAACTACTGTAATATTAGATCCATACAGACAAAATTTTTCTGAAAAGTATGGTTTTGAGCTGTTGTCACTTAATATGTCGTTTATATGTGTGCACAACTGAATTTAAAACTATTTAGAAAATCAGATACTTCTATCTTYACTCTGTTCATCTAAGCCTGCAAATCAAGTGATTTTTAAACTATACATAAACTTGGAACGAATATTAAAATGTATCATACTTTTTTTTTAATTGAAATACTGCTATCATTGTCATTCACAGAAATTGCTTTGCAACTGGGTTTTCCTATCAGTCGATTAACCTTCATGGGCACCATTGTTTGTTATTGATTTCTCAGTCATGGGACGAAAGGGTAAGAAGGTTCATGCTGATTATGCATGCAAGCGGCCTATTTTTTTAATGCATGAAGATAAAGGAATTGATTTGTGAGGGGATATGTTTTCCACCGTGTGRTTAAATGCATGTCTCTGGAACACCTAGGGTTAACAGTGGTTTTAAAAATGCTTTGGACATTCTTTTCCTTCCCCCTATACCACAAGCAATGCCATTTTTTTAACTGGTTCTGTTATGAATTATTGGAGATACAAGTTAATTTTCTACATGACTCTTGGCTTTCAATGAGTGCTATTTTGTTTCCAGAAAGCCCTGTTATTCAGGATAAATTGAMACAGGAGTTAGACAGGAATGAGTAGAAAATTGGGGTAAGTAGATGGATGAGATCTTTCCTCATTAAATAGCATGTAGATTTCAGTTGATTATGTTCAAACTTGAGTAGTGAAGGATTTTGKTTTTTTAAGGGTGCTTGAATAAATATCCAAAGTTTTGCTGTGCTCTGTGTTTCTGGAATTATTAATCAAGTATAGAAGCTTTATTTTTTTTTTCCTTTTGCTAATCTATTAAAGAGAATAGCCAATGACTTTTACTAGTAATCCAGCTGATTCAAAGAATACAAACCTCTGGATACCCAGAAAGGGATCAGTGTTAAACTCTTTCAACACATGGAGAGCATTTTAATTGTTTATATTTGAAAAGAAGTACACAAAATAATACAGTCTTCTTTTTTTTTTTTTTTTACATGCTTATATTGAAGAAATTAAGACTAGCAAATAAAGGTTTTTTTGCATTAGAAAATTTCTTGATTGCAGTATATAAAAAAAAATTAGTTAAATTTATTTATGAAATACTTCTGTTGGTCAGAAGCTTAAGTATATTGATATTTGAATGGAGAATATTGCGGTAGTCAGACTAGTATGTTTTTACTTTATAGCAAAAAGCATGTCTCAATAGTTAAATTACCAAAGTCTGGAGAGTTGTATATGGAAATAAGAGCTCCTGAAGTATAAACATTTGATGTGCTGGTACTTGGTAATTAAGAGCTTTGGATTCTTTAAAATACTTTTCTAAACAACGAGCAGGAATTAATCTGTTTAAAAAAATAGGAAAATCTGCAACATTTATGTGAGAAAAGGTAAACATTTGATTTGAAAAAGTGTGCTTACTTCAGATTTTTTTTAAATTTGGCTTTTCTTAAAAGGATTTCTGCCAAAGTAGAAAACTAAAATAAGGAGCATCATAGTCTCTGAACACAATCAAATTTCTATCTTCTTCCTACATTAATTATTTTAAATGTAATAATTTTTTATAGATGTGCGTCAGGAAAGATTTTGTGACTCTTCCTCCTACCCCACTAATCATTAGATTAAATTTTTTGCAGACCAGAACATTTCARTCTCCCTTCCTACAGGGCAAAAGTTCCCAGCAGTATTAATCTCAAAATAATTTTGAATGAATGAAAAGACAGGATTGTGTCAGTCCGAATCAGGTCTGTTGTTGCAGTACCTTTTTCTTTTTTTTTTCCTGTGTGCTTTGTCCTTACTGTAAAGCTAACAAAAATAGCTTGCCTAAGTAATAGGGGAAATTGAAAAAGTGTTAAACTGGTATTTTATCAAATCTGTAGGAATAACAGCCCAACTCTTCTTCTAATAGCTTGTGTCTCTTGTACTCTGGAAGAAAAGATTAATTATTTCTTCTGTTGAAAGTTCAATTCTAGGTCAAATCTAGATTTATTTTGCTGTGGACAATTTAAATCTGTGTCTTATGACTGTTCATTTCTCTGACTTTCTAATGTATAAATAATAGTATACAAAGTTTGTATCTTTGTACCTTTTCAACAGTTGCTGTTAATTGAAGCTAAAGTTTACAATATGCAGAATTACAAGAAATAGAGGAATTAAACTTTAAGGCATTTTGTGTAGCATTTTTTTCATAGTGAGGGTTTATATTTGTATTACTCTTGATTAGGTTTTCCTGTTTTAGACCATCTGTGGATTAAGTTTGAAACAATGATTGCTTTATCACTGAAGCCAACTTCGGGATTTTGCAGAGCTCATGGGACTAGGATGTGTTTTTGTATAACCATGTGGAGGGAGAATGGGGACATAGTTAAGTGTCAAAATTGTACTTAGGCATGTTCAAATGCTTTATTTCTATGCTTTGTATTGAAATGAGCTTCTAGAGTTTTTAAGTGTTTTGAGAATTCTTACAGTAGCTCTTATCCAGGAACTTCAAACTAACTGTGTCATTGTGCTGCGGTATTGTATTCTGTGGTTAAAATAAATTCTCTCACTTGTTACAAACTAGAATGTAACTATTTCATGCTTGAGAAGGGATTTTGAGATAATAACAACCAAATTTTACACTTCATATATTAAGAAATAGGAGTACTTGGTTAAACTATTTGATATTGAGATAATCAAGTTTTCATGTATTCTTACCAGTAGAATAGTGCAAGCTGGACCCAACACTTCCCATATATATTTCTTCTTGTTGTTGGATTTGTAAGCTTTTAAAGTCAGAACAAATACTTTTTCAGACAGGAGTTTTCCAGACCTACCAAAATGTTGCAAATTGAAGTCGGCGTTGTGCACACTGAGGAGGAATAGTATATGCGAGTAAGAGCTTGGGTTGCCATAGAAGACGATGAGTCTTGTGCCCGCGTGAAGTTCTGTCTAGTTTCTACAGAAAGCTGATGACACCTGAGACTAAATGATTAACAACGTGTGCATATGTAGGTGTGTGTGTATATGTATAAAACTGCTTCTTCGTATGTAGCTACACATCTGTCAGTCTTTTAGACCGATGGGAGCAGGCTGGCATCATTAGGTACTAAAGATGCACAACAGAGGAGAAACTGTTTTTTTATTAGTTGTGATATATCATTTCCAGATGGAGCCTTCAAGGCATATGTTCTACGTATACGCTTTTTTGGAGAGCACAGGACCATTCAGAACCTCCTATGAACTACCTTTCAGTTATTCTGGGAAAATTGATGCCAAGCCGAGTACACTTTCCAGGACTAATGGAGAAGAATAACAGTCAGAGGGATATTTTACAGTTGAGATTAACCTAGAATAACTTCAGTGTAGTATCTATCTAATATCTGTATTTAAAATACATTAAAATTATTTTGCATGAACTTCTGCTTTTTTGTATTTTGGACTAAGCTCCTCTTGAGTGAGAGCAGGAGGAGCTTCTTGCCGCTGCAGTTCATCTTCCCTTCGTTTGGTTCTGGGTCAAGGAAACAAGCTTGATATCATGAAACCACGATGTCTTGAACTTGGAAAAAATGAGCAGAAATCATGAACGTCTTGCCAGCCCTCTACTTTAGATTTCCCATGCATGACACTTCAGGTAGTTATTACCCTAGGAGGTCTTGCAAACCAGGCCACTTGGTGGCCAGTTGCTAGCTGATTTGAAGTGAGCATGGCTTCTCTGGGGCAAGTGATCAAAATCTCCCAAGGCCATCCTTCGTAATGTCTTCAAATAGTACAAATGTGTAGCGTTGACAGAATCATCTGCTGTTGGCCTTTAGGACTCCCCAAAGGAGGAAGCTTTTGACATTGTTCACTCTGCTTGGCATGGGAATACTAGAGCCTCAAAAATGGCAAAAGCTACTACTCTGGGCAGGCTTTGGTTGATCAGCAGGGTCRATTTGCCAGCGTTTTGGCAGTTTTCCCAGGTGTCAGGAATCTTCAGCTTCTTCTGTGACTGACCTTGGATTGAAGGGCTTCTGACRCCTTTTAAAGGATAGGCAGAATCATCTATGGGATTTGGATGGTGATTTGTGTTGTAAGAGATGTAATGTTTGTATGTTTCAAATTTGTGACCTTGTTACAGGAATGATGTTAAATGTAAATCATGTTAATTATCCCCCACATTCAAGGGGGAAGTTCATGTATTTGTCATAGCAGCATGAGATAGTTGACTTTGCATATAGAATTCACAGGATGTTTGAGTGGGCAGGGACTTCTGGGCATTGTCTAGTCCAACCAGCTCTCCTCAGGAAAGGTCACTTAAAGTGCATTGCCTAGGACTCTGTCCCATTGGCTTTTGAATGTCTACAAGGGTGATGTAGGCACTTCCTTGCGTTCATGTCAAAAATTAGGGCATCTCCACTTGAGCCCTGTTTTGCTAAGTGCGTAGTCTCTGTAACTCTCTTCTCCTTATGTCTTTCCTGGTTTATAGTCCCTCTCGGCCAGCCTGTTGCCAAAGACTCATGTGCCTCATTTGGTGATACGGATTGCATTTCTCCCAAGCAGACATAAATCTCCAGTCAGGGTCCCATGGTCATAGAAACCAGAATCCTGTTGTCAACATCAGCTATATGGCCAGTTGTTCACTCTCTGTAGCCATCTGTTTGTCCTCCTGTCCTTCCCCTTCACTGGCAAGATTGAGGAGAAAACCATGGCCCAAATACCACTGATAGCCCTTGGAACTCTGTAACCACACTTGATGCTATCAGAGCAGTCCTTGGCCTGCATCATTGGTGCCCACGTGGAAGAGCAACATAGAAGAGCAGTAAAGGGTAATAGTTAGAGGTGGAGTAGATTTGGCAGTCTCCATGATATCCCATCTCCATAATGGAGTCGACATGGTGTTAGCCCATGAGCAGAAGGGAACCTGCACCATGTCCTTGGTGCACAAGCATAGGTGGCTTCCATTGCCATGGCATTTTCCATACACACCTTTCTTGGGTCTCAGGCTRGACAGGCCACAAAAGGGGAGGACTCTGAGGTGGTTTCTAACTTAGTAAATTATTGCATAGAGGAAATCTTCCTTAGTCCTTTAAGAATGTCTTTTAGAAGATTATATGGTTCCCTAAGCTGTGAAGTCAATGTCCCAAATTCCCTAAAAGCCTCAGATGCCCTTCTACCCCCTTGTCTCAGTACTGAAAATCAAAATGTATTTTTACCTTGGGCTGCAGAGCTTTGTGACAGCACCACAGAGGGTTGTCACTCACTGCCATTTGTGCTGGGGAGGGGTCACACACTTACCTGGATTTGCCTTCTCAGG